CAGAGAAATATAATTCTTTAGATGTTTGAAGCAGGTTCATGTGACACACAATTTCAATTATACCTTCAATAACACCTTACTGTGCAGAAAAATGATTAAATCACTTCCTCAGTGTTGTATAAGTTAAATGCTTAAGCAGAACAAGAATGTAGATATCTCAAGATATTCCCCTTCTATATAGGCCTATATTTCCGGTTCACAGAATGACTGGACTCCCATTATGATTTAGTTAAGTGGTATTTCAAATATAAAATTAAAACTGTTGTTACGAGTAGTAAGACTTGAATAGTGGTTCAACTTGGTGCTGCGCACTACTGGATCATCAGGAACAAAAATATAATCAAAATTGATCTGACCTTAGTGTCTGCGGAGCATGTGGTGCTGCTCTGTCCTTCCCTGCCAGTGAACTCCAACTTCAACTCCAAACTTTAGCCGGTGCAGTTAAAAAAAAAGGTTTCCTGGACTTCCTAGTCATCCTTCGACATCATGGACGGCACAACAAGGTGGGATCAAGAGAATAGCCCCAAAAATGAGAAGTGGCCCCAACAGCACACTATCTTGAAGTGGAGACTTTCTAGTCACCTTGTGGCATCATAGATGGCTCAGGATGGGATCAAGAGGAAAGTTCCAAAATTCCGGAGGCTACTACTAGCAACAGGCTAGCACGCTATGGCGATGGCGTCCCACCAGGACAACCACCATGAAAAGGCCAATAAATCTGTTGGAAATATACCAAATTGAAGACATTGAATAGGTTTATGGACTCTAAAAATGCTCACCTTCCGTCTGGAATGGCCGAAAATAAGGGTCTCAAACCCCACAAAGGTTGGATGGAAAATGGCAAAATTCGTGCCCATCTTGCCTACTCTCGGTAGAGAAGAAGGAAATCAAGAAATTTCAAGAGTTTCCTGTGCACTCAGAAAACAAAACCGTTTATAAAAACATCTTTCGAATTAGAAATAATTCACTGCGCAAGTACAGTTGGAATCTTGACTAGTTGATAAATATTACCAACAGAGAATATTGAAATACCTAGATTATTTAAGAAAAATGTCCTAATGGGCCTTTGCCCGTTTTTAAAGAATTGTGAAGTTAGGTCTGACACAGAACTATAGTAACATTGGTCCAACCAAAAATGTTGCCAGCAGGCCGAAAATAAAATAAGAAGGTTATAAATTCACAAAGGCTATGGACGAAGCGAAATAACCCAACAATTCACATAACCAATTAAACTGTCAGACTGAAACTGAAATATGAATATAAACAATTACAACTACTTCAAATGTAACTTCCTGTGGATCCATAATTAAATTGAAAACAGCAAGGACATATTAATTTCCAACAGGTTCGTCAAACTGTGCATTTCAACTTCTATCCATTCAATCAGTCAACAGCAACTAGAAATGTAAATCGTTTATCATTACAGCTAGGAAGAAGGACAGATCAACACCACTGCTATGGACACCTGAAAAATACAACCCTGAAACTAATAGACAGTCACACCAGGAAGACAAAGGAATCTTCAAGTTCAGCTTACAAGAGGTCCAACGCCAACAGGATATTCAATCCACCTGCCATAACAAAATGTAAAGTGTTGCAGTCACATAATCTATTGAGTATCTTACATCATCATAATATACTGGGTGTTACTCTTGGTTAACTTAATAACAAACCCATATAATAAAGGTAAAAAAGGAAAATTACATGTTACACCAAAATTTCCAATAACGTTTTCTTCTCTTGGGTAATTGTAAACATCTAATATTTTGATAAATTCTCTGACCTCATTCTTGCTATGCAAATCATGTATACACAATACTCCAAAAAAACTGCACCCAAAAAAATTATGAGATAAATATTCAACTTTACATTTTAACAGACCTCAAAGTTTCTTTTGTAAAAATCGTTTACCAATACCCCAACTAGCTCTAAATTTCGATGATTTTGTGTATTCCATTTGGTATTTTGAGGATCTGAAAAACTATATTTTGGAGGCCCCTGGTGGAAGAGATATGATTGGATGTTACCAACTTAATAAGAGTTTGGATGATAGATTCCGAAAACGCCTTGTCAACATATGCGTTAACCATATGTTGAAAGATTTGAGTGTTGGAACAGTGCCGTCAAATGAGACAAGGACAAGATATGCCAAAGGCATAATAACCCTCTTTCCATCACTAAAAGACAATTGTAGCGATGAGGGATATGTGAGTTACATTATATTTGAATATAACATCTGTTTTATAGAATTCAATAAATGTTTACTATTTTTTGAGTAGTCATGCAAACAGAAAGTAGCGTTATTCATTATAAATCATGCACTCAAACTTTATTGTCATTACTTATGAAAAAAGTTTGAAATAAAAGTTTTGTGGTTATAACTCAATTTTGTCACTCATCTTTTTCTTAGCTCAATTTTCACCTCGAATTTGAACGATACTGTAGTTTTGATAGCATTTTAATAAAATACACTCAACCACTAAACTTTTATTTAGATAGATAGATAGATAGATACTTTATTCGTTTACCATTTTACATATTCACAAGGAAATACAAATGGACAAACATGTCAAAAAACACAGAAAGCATATACCAAAACTCACAGTATGAAAATTATTACATACTAACACAGAAAATAGAAGACTAAAACCATGTAATGAAGTACACTTTGGACGAAACAGTTTGTCTAGTACGTATTATGTCAGAGAAAACAAATAAATAATACAAAATACTATACTATATATAAATTCATCTAGTGAGTAGCAGCACTTTTCAATTAAGAATTCTTTTTGAATAATCTGACATTTGGTGCTGACTTTATATCCGGATTTAATTTATTGTATAATTTGCACCCCATAAAGTAAAAACTTTTTTGATAAAGTGCGGAGCAGTGAGAATTGGGCTGTAACATATTGCGGTAACGAGTGTTATGATCATGTTTTGGCAAGCACATTGTAATGTTTTTATAATTATTATAGAAATATATACATTTTCTATAGACAATAATAACTATCATATAATAAAGGGGTGGGTTATCTATTTAATAGTAGTTGATTGATACCTATATCAATTTGATTGATTTAAGGCAAAACATAAAAATCTAAATATCTAGCCACAATTTTCACTTGAGGCTTTTATGGTACTCTTTTGAACCGTTCTGGAACGGTTCTGTCCATACACATTCATGTTTCAGTAGTGAAAATAAGCAACTGCACATGTGCAGAACCGTTCTGGAATGGATGTAAGAAAAACCATATTGAACCTGTATTCAATCATTGCATCAATCTGTTTGAATCATAATATATCAACTATCATCTTGTACCACCTATCACAATTCGCTAAGTAATTTCCAAATAGTTTTTGTGATAATGATTATTTGAATTTATAATTTTTAGGAAGCATTCTTTGACCCAGTAACTAAAAAGGGTTTCATAACAAACCGACTTCGAACCTTGATGAGAGAAAATATCAAACATGATCTAAAATCATCAGTAGAAGATGTATGTTCGAGCGATATAGACCAACCTGATGCCAATTTGGAAAAATTAAAGGAAGCTCTGAAGTTCCTCGGTCCTATAACTTCCCGTGAAGAAATTTTTAAAAAACATTATGAAACATTCCCTCTGAGGAAAACCAATAGGTTGAACTTATCATCCGAATTTCCAAGACTACTGGACACTGAGATGCTGGTAAGTATTTCACCATAGTGTGTCATGGTGTATATACAGGATGTCCCGAAATTAGCCTGCCTTACTTCAGCAGATTCTACGATCCAAGATAACGAAGTTTTTATAGACTCATAGGTCAAAAAAATATTCATTAGGGAGCTACAGCCCCCTGAAGATGAGGCCCTGAAAATGGTTTTCATTCAATAAACTAGTTGGAGCAAGATAATAAAATGTTATATCACATACTCTGAAGTTCTCATGGTGGATAGGATGCGGTAAAAGTCATTTGAAAAATATGCCCGGCAGCAGGGGAACGGGGAGGTGGGGTACAAACTACACAAACTTTTTCATGTATGAAAAATTTTGAAATTTCAGGGTGTTTTACAGAAAAAAGTCGCACTCAGTAAACTTCAATAGCATGTACCGTTCTCGAGTACCGTTTCGTTTTTCGTCATACAAAAATGATAAATGTGAAATCATAGTGGCTTTGACAGTTGGTGACAGATGCGTTAGTAGAATTTCAATTTATTATTGAAAGTACGGTTTTGTTCTGATCACATGCCGGAGTTTACATATCAAGAGCTTGCAGAAATGCATTTTATCTTTTACTCGAAAACGTTGCATGCTATTGAATTCATTAAGAGCACATATTTTTCAGCAAAACGCCCTGAAGATTTATAATATTTCATACAATTTTGAATAAAAAAATATACACAAAAAAGTTGGAGTAATTTTTACTCCACCTTTCCATTTTCCACCTCACCTTATGGAGCACGAAAACTTCTGAGTATGTGCAACATTTTATGACTGCTTCAACTTGTTTCGGAGATATCAAATAGAAGCCATATTCAGGAACTGAATGAATAGGGACTTTTTTTGACTAATTTTTTATCTAGAATCTGCTGTCGAAGTTTTTCAAGCTAATATCGGGGGTGGGTAGTCCCTAAGTTAAGCGAGAAAGAGTTCCGTAGGACACACATTCGTTCAAAATGCAATTGCAATTAATTAATAAATAATCACAGGGTTAAGTTTCACAGAATCCCTTCATAAATTATATTATAGTATCTTTATTGTGTTGCAGGTTTCTTATGAGTTTTTTCTGATCACAAAAAAAGACGAAGATATATTTCTGACGAAATATCCCGAATATATATATTGAGAAGATTTTCACACTTTATGAAAAGACAATTACCAAGTGTAATCCGCTATTGTTGTCTGATGAACAGAATGAATGTGAGTATAGTATTTTCTGGATCATTATAAAAAATACTAGTTATATATCATCAATTATTTCAGACTGGAATCGTGAAACTAGATCATTGTTAATCTTAGTGGAGCTACTCCCTCCTCCTGCAACTGGCAGAAAGGGATGCCAGAAACGCGAAACGGCTGCATCAGCAATAGTGAAATTGATTAAATTCCAGAAAGAACTGGTGCCATTGCAAACAGCGCTACAAGGAAGACCGTCATCACAACCCTTTCTTCTTGCTGTTGGTACGAATGAAGCTGAGGTGGGAAGGTACTATGTGGTTTTTGATGAATTCATATTACCAGCAGGTAAAACTATAGTAGAAGCCTTTGATTGCCTTGTTGAAGTGCATTATGTATTCAATATAAGTTACCATTCAGCGCTCGACCACTTCTTCAATTTTATAACCAACATATTTTATGACATCCCATAAAAGAATATTACAAGCCGAATGCGGGAACTACGAGGAACATTATTGAACTAATCAACTGCAATATACCTATTTCTTAGGATTTGAGGTAGGCAGATTCAAAATGAATACATGCTTCATGTGTGGAATTAACATGTTGAATTAATCTGATTTAATCAAGCATTTGAGAAAGAATCATGCATTGTATGAAGGGGCTACTCTGGAATTATTATGCACTCGCTCTGGTTCTGGCAATATTTACAAATCTTTCAGTGGATATCGTAAACATTTACAAAAATGTCAGAGTGGTAACCTAGTCTCTACCGAAATAGTGTCCTCAGTATCTCTGGATAATGCAGGTTTAGATATACCAGATCAGAACTCTAAAAGCGAATCCTCCTTGAATTTCTTTCAATCAATCACAGCGAATTCAAAACAAACGTTGGACCAATACTTAGCGTCATATGTTGCTACACTGTATTCCCAGAGACAACTATTCAAATAATATTAGAGTCCACTAAAGAGTTGATAAACCATATTGTAAATAACAGATTGGTTGATGGAGGGCAATGCGCTGTGAATTTTGATCACCTCTCGAGTAAATTCAAACGAAATAAATTCTTCAAAAAAAATATTATAATTCCCCGAGAAATAACAATTGGTATACGATATGATAAAAAATGGTGTAAAGAACAAAGTGCCTACATTCAAGTACCAGTTACTTGTACATTTTCTTATATACCGATACTTGAATGTTCATCATTTTTACTTAACAATGATTCTTTTCTAAACTTGATAATGAAGGAACATGAACAGTCAACCTTTCTCCAAGAATATTCCGATGGTTCGCATTTTAAAAATAACATTTTTTTCAAAAACAATAAATTTGCGCTACAGCTTCACCTTTACTTTGATGAATTTGAAACAGTGCATCCACTGGGATCAAAAACCGGCGGCCATAAAGTTGGAGCAATATACATGATGATAATAAATCTTCCTTCCATTTTCAATTCTGTTCTCAACAATATCCACTTAGTGGCTTTGTTTTACAGCAACGATATTAAGACTTTTGGGTTCAATTCGATATTAGACGTCATTGTAAATGACATAAAAATTTTGGAATCTGAGGGAATTTTTGTTCCAAAACTTGTTCATAATTTGAAGGGTACATTAGTTTCTTTGAGCCATGATAATTTAGGTGGAAACCAGATATTTGGAATGGTAGAATCATTTTCCGCCCACTATTTCTGTAGAATTTGTTTGGCTGAAAAAGGAGAAAGCTCAGAAAACGAAACATTACTTCGTACAAATGCATCATATGAGGCCCACTGTAGGCTCATTTCTGAGAGTGAATCATATGGCATAAAATTCAGGAGTTCTTTGAATAATCTTTGTTTCTTCAAGCTGTGTGAAAATCCTTCTGTTGACGTAATGCATGACTTATTAGAAGGTGTTATACAATTGGAACTGAAACTTTTTCTGAAATATTTAGTGAGTGAAAAATTGACACCAATACAAGTAGTCAATGAAAGAATTAAATCATTCAATTTTGGAATATTGAATGTCAAAAACCAGCCAAGTCCAATCTGTCTAGATAAGCCACAAAACTCGATCGGGCAGCGAGCAGCACAGGCGTGGTGCTTGTTGAGATTTTTTCCTTTGATTATTTATGATGTAACGAAAAAGTTGACGGCAAAGCAGTATGCAAAGTTCAATGTTATTTTGTTGTTGATAAAAATTGCCAGTATAATTTTTTCTTCGATCGGTAGTAATGGCTTGACAGCCAAATTACAACTACTCATCGAGAGTCATCATAAATCATTTTTGAGAGAATATGAACATCACCTCATTCCAAAGCACCATATGATGCTACATTATCCCTAGATATTGAAGAAAATGGGTCCTTTAGTAGGATTATGGTGTATGAGATTCGAAGCCAAACACGGCTACTTCAAACATTTAGTGCATAGTATGAAAAATTTCAATACTGTGAAAGTCTTGCATTCCGACATCAGAAACATATGTGGTCCCAATGGAAAGCTATCAATTTGACACTTGAACCAACTTTGGGTAAATGTTTTTTGAAGAATATAGCTAATGAAACATATGCTGATGAGTTGAAGAATATTTTAGATGTGAAGATATCACATTTAAAATTCACAAGTCAAATTAGATGTTTTGGAGTCACTTTCAGAACGAATTGCTTCATAACCTGGGAGTTGAATGATAATCTTTGTCCAATATTTTGCAAGATAGTTGCTATTTGTACCCACAATTCTCATACTCTTATTCTATGTGAACCTTGGGAAACAAAGTTTTTTGATAAAATCAGCCAGTCCTATGTAGTAAAAAATTATGCAGAACATTCACATGAATCCTTGGAAATTTTTGATTTGAAAAATCTACAACATTTCAATACATATGAATTTAGTACACCTTATAATGAAAATTTCTGCTGTATTGTTCCAAAATATGAAATAATCATTAATTGATTATACTTTATTATAGGTTATGTCATCGATAATTGACGTGAAAGCACATTTATTTTAATCTGCCTACCTCATTCAAGTCATTTAAAATATTTTTATATGAACAAATATTTCAAAATTCATAATTATGTCACACAGAGTAAGTCATGAGGAATCGGATGTGTAAAGGCCGTTGAGGGGAATACAAACTGTCTTTCTCTCCATTGATAGTATTTAATATTCTTGGGATTTGACAACACGTTCTTTTAGTCATAAAATTCGATTATTCGCGATAGAAAATAGGCATACGCCATCTATCGGAGTTCTTGAAAGCTGTCAAAGCGGTTTGTTTACTTTGTTTTTCAATGAAATGTTATGGTATTACCTACTAACCTACTGACGTATTGAAAAATGAGCTTTGTTTACATCAAATACTTGTCCGGTGTATTGTTTTTGTGAACTAATGTGATAAGGACTTACTAGGAAAGAAATTTCAGCAGAATTTCATTGCATGAGTAAAAAAAATATTTTAAAAAACAGCACAAATCTAGACTTGGACTGAATAGGTCCAGTATTTTCTAATCATGATATAATACAGACAGTCAAGGAATTTAGATAATCAACATGAAAGGATATTGAAAAAAAAACTTCGTGTACAATATAGTCAGTCAAAAAAACGTTTGTAATAAGAGATCAACATAAAATAGAAGTCGAGTGAAATTTGATATTTTCATTACTTTCAAGTTGATGTGTGATATCATTATCTTTTCAACTGCCGATTGCCAAACTATGTTAGATATGTGATTTAAAGTTTACAAAAACCAAATACACGATGAAATTCTGATACCTAACTAATCCAACATTATTTTTGTGTCGGTAGTCCTGTCTTTTTATTTCAGTAGGATGGCAGACTTAACATAGCATTCCATAAAAAAATTACACCAATTGAAAAAACTGTTGATGAATAATGACCATTATAAGTATTTCAAATCTATAGAACATCCTGTTGATGAGTCACTGTTTGATAGTCACCTAGTATTCTCATCAAGGGTCTCTTCAATATGTCATGTTTCTCATAACTGCATAAGATTATTATCTAATGCTATGCATGATAGTAATGTTGAGGTTTGTAACTCGTTACCCTTGTTATAACCATAGTTCGACCCTTTTTCTATCTGTGCCAACATATGGCAAATGTTATAATATTTCAAGATTCATGATTTCCCAATTTTGATATTTTCGAATATGCTGTCAACTTTCGATTTTGAAATCACTAAACCTGTTCATTATTTCATACTTGGTATACAATTAATGGATTGTAATGCAAATTCAACACTATTATGGATGGTTTATTCCTTAGTTCTTTTATTAGGAAATATCGAATATCTTCATACAGTTGACGATTATGGTTCAAATTAGAGAAATTTACATGGTAATTTACATTTTGTACTTCCACTTGTATCAAAGAATACGTTTTAATTTTTTTTCGTTTATTGTTATTGAAACTAATAGTGGAACAAATATCATTTTTTGTTGAACATGAGACAAATGGGGGCTCTAACATGTTCATTTACATTATGTACTTTTATTTATACCAAAGAATACGTTTTAATTTAGTTTAGTTTATTGTTCTTCATAGAAGGTCCCTATTTATGTTATTCACGTGAGGATAATAAAAAGTTTATCTATCAGATTATACTTATTTCCGTCTTCAGTATTGATCCTTTCCTGCGGAACTAAAAGGTGGTGATATCTTCTCTACTATAATTTGTCATTTCAATTTCCCCAAAAATAAATACAGATTTTTTTAAACTATTTACCACAAAATACTATACAAGGAAAAATTCGCTTATGTATAAATGAAAATGATATCCGATGAGAGTTGATTGTCGCAGACATTCAATTTAGTGAAAATCACAACATTCAATGAAACTGACCACTGAAATTGTGGTAAATGCATTGACAATTGAGAAAAGTGACATTATTCCTAGTGGGATTGTCAATCGTTGTTAGTGATATTTGACAAAATATCAGCTAACAATGACATTAGATGAAGTGAATTTTCATAAAATTCACTGTAAAAATTGACAAAAGGAAGTGAGATAAATGCATCACCTTTAGTGGAATCAACTTTATAGCGAACATTAAAAGCATTAACAAATGGTAAATGTCTTTTCATCTCTAGAGGAAATATCATCTATTAATAGCAAATTTCAACATGGTATCAAGTGGAAAAAAGAATCTAATACAGTGAAATATCCCAAGATTTCCTGTGACATGTACAACTGAAAATGTGGTGAGTGCACTAACAAATGAAGAATGTGTTATCATTCCTAGTCGAATTGTCAACTTTTGATAGTGATTTCTAACACAATATCGAGTAGAAATGACATTTGATGAATCGAATTTCCATAATATTCCCTGTGAAAATTGACAACTAAAAGTAAGTCAAATTCATTGACTGTTGAAAAATTCGTTTTCATTTAAAAGTGGCATCAACTGTCTGAAGTGAATCTTCTCAAAATGTCAAGTGAAAATGACATCTAATGAAGTGAACCATCACATCAGTCACCGTGAATACTAACAACTAAAGGCGGGTCCACATTAGTAAATATTTGCGTTGTGTGTTGAATTTAGGATTCGCCATAAATATTTGCGTCGCAAATTGGTTAACGTCCCTGCGCAAATATTTACGTTGTGTGCCGTGCGTCCCTGCTCAACACGTGTGCGAAGTTGTGTCCCAGGTAGCAGAGTGACGTCCAATTGACGTCATTTTTTGGTCATAAAATGACGAAGTCCCTATAATGACGTCAAAATGTCACAGCCATATGACGTCATATTTAGACGTCATAATGACGTCGCAGAATGACCAATAAAGGACGAACTAAAAAAAATTAGGAGGTTTATATATATATACGGTATTATTGGTACATAAAAACACCACAAACCTTTGATGACATTCATTTTGTAACTATATACGTTGTGGTCACTTGGTTGATGGTCCTCCCGGGCAGTCCTGTTGAATCCTAGCGCTATCACTACTATCTATGAATCTCTATATGACAATATCGTTAGAAACTCGTATTTGTACCTAAAATTATGTAGCGAGCGTCGGCGAGATGTAAGCTGAATAAACTCATTTTTAGCTAAACTATCCATTTCTGAGAAATCCTCTGCAACAGGTCGATTTTATTTCCGATTTGCCACATTTCAAAGTAAGAATCATATATATACAGGGTGATCCACGTTTAAGTTAAGACTTCCGCGGCAATTTTTTCAATTAGAAACAATAATAACCTATATAAGATACATTCAATATTTGAAATATTCATGGAAATCTGAATTTGAAAATATATTACACATAGGGTTTGTATACAGTGTGTCCGTTAAATTGAGTGATCTCGCGTGAAGTAAATAAAGTAGCCAATCAATGTACTTATAACCATACAATTCCTTTTTGAGGAATCTTCATCTATCTTCATTTTAAATAACCAACATTATTGAGAAAAAATTGAACATACAGGGTGATTCAAGTTTGAGTTACAACGTCCGCGACCATTTTTTCAAAGGAACACCCTATATGAATTATTCGATTTTTGGAGTCTCTATGGAAAGCTGGATTCAAAAATATATGAGTTTGTATACAGTGCGTTCGTTGAATGAAGTTCTTATGTGGAGTTGCGAATAAATTCGTTGAGAATTGAAAACATTTTTTTTTTTTTAGAGAATAACTTTCGAAGCAGTAGAATTTTATTTTCATTCAAGCTTTATCTCATATTAAATCGATATATAAAGAATGATTCGTGTAGGAGAAATTTCTCCATCTTAATTTTTTAATGGCGATCCAATTTTACGAGAGAACTGAATTTAACGAACGCCCTGTTTACAAACCCTTTGTGTCATATACATTTGATTTTGAAAATTCAATAATATATATCCGTTTGAAAAATGTGTCGTGTACGTCATAATACAAACGTGCATCATCCTGTATATTTGATGATTTCTCGTTATAAATGTGTCAAATTAGAAATCAAAGCCTCTCCTGTTTCCTCAGAAATATATAAGGTAGATAGATATTGGATAATAAATTAATTTATCCACTACTTCACGAGAGCATCTAATTTATTGGACGCACTCACCTATACAATCCACATGATTGTGTTGAACATTTTCGAATTCCGCTTCCCATGGTTATTTCAATGATTGAGTAATATATATATAGGGTGCTCTATTTAAAAAAATTGTCGTGATGGTCATAACTCAAACGTGGATCACCATGTATGTATATTCTTTTTTTATCATAAATATAGCAAATTGAAAATGAAAATCGACCGTTTTCAGCAGATTCCTCAAAAATGCATAATTTGGCTAAAAATAAATTCGTTCATCAGTACTTACGAAAACACTGTATATACAAACACGAATTTAGGACGTACAATTAACAAACGAAAGCGACTGATTATTTTTATTTGGTCGAATATACGACTTTGTAGGGACGTCAATAAGACGTCCAATATTGAACGTCAATAAGACGTCATGAAATATGACGTCATTTTTTGGTCCCTCTGAAGTCGAGGACGTCATTGACCAATAATGACCAAAAAAATACGTCATTATGACGTCATTTCACTAACCTGTGCTACCTGGGGTGGTGGTTTGTTTTGTGTTCTCGATACCTAGTTAGTACATCTAGAAAATAAACAAAAATGAATTTAAACAAAGAGGACAGTCTCCAGTTAATTCAAGAATATCAAAAACATAAGATTTTATGGGACCCAAAAGACAAGTGGTATTTCCATAAAATTAAAAAGAATGATGCTTGGGAGGAAGTCGCTACATCTTTAAATATAGATGTAGAAGACGCAAAAAAGAAAATATCTAGCCTTCTAGGCTCATTTCGCAGAGAAAAAGCGAAAAATCATTTGGTGACATACGCAAAAAATTTTTGAAATGACCAGTACTCTCATCCAAGGATAATAGATTCACTAATTCAATACCGTCTAATTGTTTTCTGTTTTGATACAGATGCCTTATCCAATACTGCCTCATGTTTTTTGGCTTTTTAGCTTTTTCTTTTTGATAATAAGATGGTGCATAACAAGGAAAGCAGCTCATTTCCTTTTCATTAATAAATTAGCAGACATAGGTACTCACTGATTTCAATATCTACAACAGAACAGCAAAGCACAAGCAATGGCAATAAAACTTGATGAAATTACTGCGTTTTGGAAAATACGTCCACAATTGCACGGTTTTGTGGCGCAAATCCCTTTGATCTCACAATAAAACCGACAAACCACGGATCGCGTGCGTTGAATGCGGCGAAAAATTTTGCGTCCCTTTTCATGCGGCGAACACGTGCGAACACGTCCACACTCGCATAAATTTGTATGTTGCATACAAATTTGTGCCGAATGCCCTTCACAACGTAAATTTTTACTAATGTGGACCCGCCTTAAGAGTGTAGTAAGTGATTCAACTACAGTGCGATTGGTATCTATGTAGTGTAAAAATCGTGGTTACTGATGTTGAGTTTATAATATGTCCTAGGTTTACTATTATTTGATAGAGTGAATTATCACAACTTGCGATTTGAAACTATCGAATTAGAAGTGTGGTAAGTACATTGAATGATGTCTGATGTTAATATACTTCAAGTGAGAACACAATGTTTCTAATGTTATTAAGTAAGGAGAGTATATTGATTTCTCAGTTGGTACTTGTGATCTTAGCAAGTGGATAATGAGAAACTAATTCAAGCTACAGTGAGTTATTCGATTAATAGATGATATTTCAGCTGATAAAGTACTGCTAGTTGTTCTTCATGTTACTGTTTCTCATTATTAATGAGAAATTTCATTTCGTGATTTTTGTTGGTTTTCTTTTTGTCTCTTGATGAGAATCTAACTAAAATTTTAGAGTGGACTCCCTGGGACATCATCTAATGTCGAATTTAACACTTCAATTCCAACAGTGTATATTTCATCCTGACAGTCGAATGCGGAGTACTAGAATTGATTTTTTCAAATATTATCCGTTTCAGGGGTGAAACGTCAACTCATCCCCATTAGCAAGACATTTTTCCGCATAGATATGATCAAATATGTCACAAAGAACTGTTTTTTTCATATTTCATCCTTACAGTCGTATGCAAAGTACTAGATTTGATTTTTTCAAATATTATTCGTTTTAGTGGTGAAACTTCAACTCATCCCCATTAGCAAGAAATTATTTCGTATCGATATGATGAAATATGTCACAATGAACTGTTTTTTTCACATTCCATCCTGACAGTCGATTGGGACGTACAAGGTTCGATTTTATCCAATATAATATAATATCCCTTTCAGGAGTGAGATGTCATCTCAACCCCATCAGCAAGAAATTGGTTCACCACACAGAATGGTTTTTCTATATATTTCACAAGTTTGATAAAATATAACAATGTCAGAAAGACCTTAAATCCTGTTAGCTTTCCTGATAAAAAGTTCAACAAAATGTTAATATATTATTGTTCAGTCAGTCAATTATCATTTTTTTATTATTTGCCTATTGCTTTCAATTGTGGAAAACAATATAGATTCCTATACCTATATGATCAGCCTTTTTGTGGGAATGAGACATTTATTCAAAATTTCAATCATCATAATACAATTTTTATTAAAAAACGTGACACTGGTCTTTGGGTGACTTCGGAAATCCTGGCAGATGGAAATCCTGCTGCCAGGCAGCCAGATGTGAGTTTTATTAAATAAACTTGACGCCACTGGTCTTCGGGTAACATCGGAAAAGCTGGCAGATGAAAATCCTAGCAGCTGCCAGCTGCCTGGCAGCCAGATTCACACGGCTGGGCTAAATGATCCTTATGATACGGATAGTGTTTTGAACAAAGGCAAGTAGACCAGAGCATCAAAACCTTTTTCAAAATACAAATCATATTATTTTGAAGAAAGTGATGTAATCTATTCTGTTTCAGATATAATTTTAGTGTCGAGATAGAAGTTCCTGTGGAATATCAGTTCAATGTGAGTAAAATCAGTCAACATTTTTCAATAAGTAATCAATTTCAAACTGCCACATTTCTGAAAGAGCTTGAAATAAATAACTGAAATTCAGATTTTCCTGTGCTTCTGTTCCATATCTTGATTGAAATTTTATAATGAATGTGAACTCGATTTTGGACTATGATTCTAAGGGAATTTCGTTTCACTTGAAAATTATTCAATTTTTCAATAGATTCCTCTCAGAAGTCATTGTCCTATAATGCATAATTGAATATATTATTCATTAGCATTGTTTTTATTTGAAACTGTCACAGGATGATACTGGTTCTAATGGAGACTGGTCACATTATACACCTGGACATCTGAGGAAGCCTAGAACAACCATATTGAGAAAGTTGCCTCAAAGTTCTATTGAAGTTGGAGAAGATGGGTTGGTTTCTTTAAATTTGGAGGAGGTTTTCAGAGCAGACATGGAAAATACTGCTCATAGGGCTCTACACACATCATCTTCTGCTGCTGAGAGTTGTCCTAATACTCCAATTGCACGACATACATATCAAAGTCCCAATAAACGACCTGCATTAAAGCCTATGAATGCTGATGAAATTGACCCAAAAAAGCATAAACCGGATAAGGAGAATTCGACTAGACACCAGGCCAGTAGAAGGAGACCCATCATCTCACAGGCGAAAAATGAAGTTCTGATGTCAAAAAGACTAGAGGCACTAGCAAAAGTGACGTCTCATACAGAAGAGGAGCACCAAATTATAATGGAAATTCACCGTGAAAAATTGCGTTAAGAAAGAAATCGTACAAGAATACTCCTCTTGGAACTGAAGGTGGCCAAGAGACAGACCAGAAATTGAATTCCGAAGGTTTTCAGTAATAAAGTGTCAATATTTCTTTTTGTGGATATTTTGTTAACCATGACATGACAACTCAGATGTTGAAATTTCTTATTGTATGTGTCACTGAATGATTTGTTATTTAGATTTTGTTATTCAATAAAAGTTAGTCACTTTTTAACATGAGTTTTATTACCTGAACATCGTTTCAGAAAACTAAACAACTTCTGCTAAGCTGGTGAATCCCATGATTTAAAATATATAATGTATAGTATAAGTGAAAATTCAAACTAAGGAGCCTGTTTTTCTCATTTATAATGAATATTCAATGGTCATTAAATGACTGGAAAAACTAACCTTGTGAAGTATTGATGTACTATGCCAAGTCTTTCTCGTTGCTCAGGGTGATTTCTCCTCCTGTTCAAGGGCTGATGAATGGCGGCAATGGGATTTTCCAGCCATTATAATTTCCCATGGTGCCGGTAGATCAGCTTCAAACTGAGGCTCAAATGGTGGAACAGCTTCTCCTCGTCTTCATAGGTTGTTATGAAGAACAGCTGTTGCTATGATTATGGGAAACACTTGATCTTAATGAACTCTGAGACCTAATGATAATAAAGGAAATCGCCTTTTCCATACTCCAAAAAATCTTTCAGGGTTAGTGGTTCTTATTTGCGATTCATTGTGTAATTGTTCAGCAGGGATCAAACAATTATCGAATGGTGTCATCATGTATTTTGTGTAGGAATATCTCCTACCAAAACAGCATTTCCATATGCACCATCATCAAACATACCTTTTAGGTATGAATTCCGAAATATAGTGGAATCATGAGTACTACCAGGCCACCTGGCAACTATATCTGTGAATTCTAGGTTTGAATTGCATACAGCTTGAATATTGAGGGTAGAGTAGCCCTTCCTACAACGAAACAACTCTGCATTGTCACCATCTTAAAGCAATACAGTTGAATAAAGTTGAAGAAATTGAGTTGAGAAAATAATCAGGGAATGATTTACCTGGGGTATTAATTTTAATATGTGTGCAATCAATGGCACTCAAAACCCTAGGAAAGCTGGCAGTATTGAAGAAATCCATCTGAGTACTTCTATCCGTCATTCGGTTGCCCCCTTACGAGCAACCCTCAGAAGTCTGCGAAAGTCTTGTGCGAGCAAGGAATGACTCTATGGATTATTCAATGTGCTGTTGATTCACTAATTCCAGAGAAATCTGCAACTGTAATTTGGTGACAACCCGTTGCATAATACCTTAAGGTGCACAATAACTGATTCATTGGTGACACAGAATCATTCCTGAAAGAAATGAGAAAATTTTAAATGATACAAATTTCTCAACTACAGATTAAACCAACTTGTTGGCTTATCTGAATTATTGAATACGTTCAGAGAGATTAAACAAAAGAATGCATGTGGTGATGACGAGTTATCCCTGAAAGTTATTGAAAATTTACCAATTCAGGTACTGGAAGTGTTATGTGAATGTATAAACATATCACTTTCCAATGGAAAATTTCCATCAAGCTTGAAAAAGTCTATTGTTGTTCCATTGTTCAAGGGAGGGGATCCATCAGATCCATCGAACTATCGTCCTGTATCTTTATTATCTATTCTATCGAGAATTATAGAAAAATTGGTGAAGAAACAGATTTGTGATTTCATAGCTAAACATAAATATTATCCGCATATCAGTTTGGTTTCCAAAGATCGAAAAGCACAAACGATGCTTTGTTTTCTATGTTTGAGAAACTCTATGTCACATTGAATAATAAGGACATGGCAGCGGCAGCTTTCTGCGATTTCTCGAAGGCATTCGACTGTGTTAATCATGATCTGCTTCTCAAAAAACTCAACGTTTATGGGTTCAGAGGAGTTGCCTTGGACTGGTTTCAGTCTTATTTACGGGATCGAGTGCAGACTGTGCGTACTAGCTCCGGGTATTCTGAAGTGGGAAGTATCTCTCATGGAGTTCCACAGGGATCCGTATTGGGACCTGTCCTCTTTCTTCTCTACATTAATGATCTACCTTCCATCAATATTCATGGTCACTTTACAATTCTCGCAGATGATACTACAATTCTTTGGAGCGGGAATGATACAGAAATACTGGAACAAAATATAAGTACCAACATTGAAGGAATTAAACGATGGTGTGATTCAAACAGCTTGTGTTTCATTATAAGCAAAACCAATATTTTAACGTTCAAATTCAGATTTCCAAACCTAATGCTAGACAATATATCAATTTCTAATAACGAGTACGGCAAATTCCTTGGTATCATAATGGATAATAAGTTGAAATTTGAACCGCATATCCTGAACTTAAATAACAAACTTGCATCCGGCTGCTTTGCTGTTCGTGTAGTGGCACGCGAGCTGGGTAGGTCTCAAGCTCGAATGGTATATTTTGCTTTGATGGAGTCGAATATGAGATATGGCATCGCATTTTGGGGTTTTTGTAATTTACAAATGATGAATTCTGTCTTTGTCCTCCAAAAAGGGCTTTAAGATATATTTGTGGAGTTAGATTAGACACTCACTGCAAACCATTATTCATTAGTCAACGAATATTGACAATTAGGTACATGTCTCTTTATTCTAGAAACGGTTAGTTTGTTGCACAAGAGGCACAAGAATCATTTGTTCTCCAATTGTTATAAAACGTTAATTAACGACTTTTTGAATAGTATAGACTGGATTAATATCTTGAAAAATGATGATGTCAATGAAGATATCGAAGTATTCTACACAATATTGAATGAAGTAACTGAACAATTCATCCCTAAAAGAAGAATTTGTAATAGAAACTATCCTATATGGTTCTCAAGAGAAACAAGAATTAAATTGAAAGAGAAAGAAAAAATTCATAAGAGATGGAAAAAACATAATAACATTCAAGATTACAATACATTTTCACACCTCAGGCGCGATGTTAAAAAGCTCATAAGGAATGACTATAAATGTTATGTCGAGAGAACAGAATCCAATATGAAAGAGAACATCAAACATTTTTGGTCGTTTGTCTCGAACAAAAAAAGTAGCAAACACACACCACAAAACATGGAATTTAATGATGAACACGCTAATGATAATAATGCCATATGTAATCTCTTTGCTCAATACTTTGGCAGCGTATATATTGATAACACCTCTTTTTCTGATATTGATACAGACATCATAACAAATAATCTCCCAATTATAATCGATTATATCGACAAAGAACAAATAAAAAATGGGTTGATTTCTCTGGATATTAAGAAAGGTCCAGGACCGGATGGCATTCCGGCTATATTTTTGAAACGATGTTGTGACAGCTTGGCACAACCTTTATTCATCATTTATAATAAGAGCTTGAGGACAGGGGTATATCCTACTAAGTGGAAACTTGCTCAAATAATTCCTATTTTCAAAGCGGGAGATAAGAAAAACGTATCAAACTATCGTCCTATATCACTCCTCGACCATTTCGGGAAAGTTTTTGAAAACTTAATCACACAAGAACTGTTCTTCAAGGCAAAACATTTACTTCCTATTAATCAACACGGATTTTTCAAAAAAAGATCAGTGTTATCAAATTTAGTTCCATACGTCCAGGATATATTTCAAAGAATGGAGGCGAGTATGTCGGTTTGTTCTGTGTATACCGATTTCTCGAAGGCTTTCGATAGAGTGCACCATGCAACTCTTATCGTAAAGCTGGGGAATTTTGGTGTGCATGGAACACTGCTGACCCTACTCGCTTCATACCTAAGTGATAGGAAACAATATGTTGCTCTGAATAACAGTCGATCGTTCTTAATTGATGTAACTTCAGGCGTACCTCAAGGCTCACACTTGGGACCCCTGTTATTCTCAATTTTTCTTTTTGATATTGGCAATTGTTTTCATTTCTCTGAATATAGTCTTTATGCAGATGATCTGAAAATCTTCAGGACCATTAGGGGCATTGACGACTACATTAAATTGCAATCAGATTTGAATCGTTTCTCTGACTACTGCAGGCGTCATAAATTCATTGTTAATCCGGATAAATGTCACGCAATACTATTTTCTCATGTTATAGCACCCAATACTACCAACCTGTTTATTGATGACGTGTCAATCCGATTTGTAGACTCTGTGAAGGATCTAGGTCTGTTATTGGACGGAAAATTGACATTTCAGAAACATATTGAGAGTATGGTTAAAAAAGCAATGAGGACACTTGGCTTTATTTTAAGAATTTCTCGAGAATTTAACAATGTTAGCTCTATCATAATGTTATTCAACACTCTTGTACGACCTATATTAGAATATTGCACAACAGTATGGAACCCATTCTATGAAAAATATGTATCACAGATTGAACGTGTTCAAAAAAAACTCATTAATTCACTTAATTATAGATTTCATAGGCAACAACACTTCTCTGATTATGAATCAAATTTACGGCTCTATAATATTGAACTGCTTCAAGATAGAAGAATTTATTTCGATCTATGTTTCATTTACAAAATTGTTAATGGATTGATTGATTCCGACTATTGTTTACGTTTCATCTCATTCAATTGCACTTCTTTTATCATGCGAAATAGAGGAACCTTCATTGTAAGTACTCATTTAACAAATTATACCTTAAATTCTCCAATGATCCGATGCTGCCTCACGCATAATCGGTTCACAGCAAAATCAGTGGATTATCAACTTGATATTTTCCACCTCAAAATTAACCAGTTTAGAAAAATTATTAAAACAAAATTCACCATACATTCGTGAGTGAAATTCTTGATTATTTTTTTTTTGTTGGTAGCTTTTTTTTAGTATTAGTTGATTTAGATTAGTGATTTGATATTAATTATGTGTTACTCATGCTTTCATAAATTTTATATGTGTACCTGTAAGTGTGCCGCCTCATTATTGGGTATAACTACCTGTCTGGCGG